GACCTGGGTTCTGACCCATGTTCTGACCCATGTTCTGACCTGGGTTCTGACCTGGGTTCTGACCTGGGTTCTGACCCAGGTTCTGACCCATGTTCTGACCCATGTTCTGACCTGGGTTCTGACCCATGTTCTGACCCATGTTCTGACCCGAGTTCTGACCGGGGTTCTGACCCATGTTCTGACCCGGGTTCTGACCCGGGTTGTGACCGGGGTTCTGACCCATGTTCTGACCCATGTTCTGACCCGAGTTCTGACCCGGGTTCTGACCCGGGTTCTGACCCGGGTTCTGACCCAGGTTCTGACCCGGGTTCTGACCCAGGTTCTGACCTGGGTTCTGACCCAGGTTCTGACCCATGTTCTGACCCATGTTCTGACCTGGGTTCTGACCCATGTTCTGACCCATGTTCTGACCTGGGTTCTGACCTGGGTTCTGACCTGGGTTCTGACCCAGGTTCTGACCCATGTTCTGACCCATGTTCTGACCCGGGTTCTGACCCAGGTTCAGACCTGGGTTCTGACCCATGTTCTGACCTGGGTTCTGACCCCGGTTCTGACCCAGGTTCTGACCTGGGTTCTGACCCGGGTTCTGACCCAGGTCCTCTGGTCCTGTCAGGATGAAAACTACTGAGAGAATATAATGTCTTAAATTAGCTCATCTGTTGGAGAATCTTTCTAAGAAACTTTTTTCAGGTCAGCAGGATCCCTTGTTTCAACTTCTAAGATAAAATACCTGTTTTTACCACAGCGCCACCTGTAGGTGAATCTCCAACATAGAGTTGCAGAATTTGTTTAAATTAATGGATTAGAATAAACTAATGTAAGGAATGTTATAATAAAGAAAATGTACTAATAATAACTAACAGTTACTGTTTGATTTTATTTAACAAAAACAAACATTAATTTAAATGTTGATTTTTACCATTTAAAAGCTTTGATGATATTTGTTAAAGGCTTTTTCACCGTAAGCAGAACTTTGCTCTCAAACTGCAGAAGATAAAAATAAGTAAGAAAAACCAACTGATACATTTTCACAGTGAATAAATGAGCGAGAGGAAAAAAAAGGAAAAATCTTTGTGTTGCAAAACTTTCTGTTTATTTCACAAATTTTTTTCAACCAACATGAAGAAACTGATCAGATTACCTCCTTTGGACAGAAAAAAGTCTCTTCCAGGTTTGTCGTATCTTGGACAGGTTCAGTCCGTACATCACAGGGTTAAACAGCGGCTGACATGTCAGGAAGTACAGGGACAAGAATATTTTTACAATATTTGGAACATACTTTGTGCTGAACCTGCTTTGTATAACGTCAAAACAAACACCAAAGAAGAAGTTAGTGATGGAGGCCAGGTGAGGTGTGCAGGTGCTGACGGCTTTCTGCCGGGTCTCTTTGGATCCGCAGTAGCACACTTTGAGGATCTTCATGTATGTGTAGAAAATAAAAATCACTGGACAAACCACTCCAACGGCAGTGCTCACAAGTCCATAAATATTATTGCTTGTTGTGTCTGAGCAGGTCAGCTGAACAATGGAGTAATTATTGCAGAAGGCTTTATCGATTACGTTTCTGCAGCGGTGCAGAGAGAAACTCATGGAGGTGTAAATGCTGACTCCAAAAAAGGCAGTTACCCATTCAGCAACAATGAGAGCTGCGACTTTCCTCACCGTCATCAGGGAGTGATACCGCAGAGGACGACAGATGGCCAGGTATCGGTCATAAGACATGATAGTCAGGTTAAAAAACTCTACGCTCAGATAGGTGTGAAGACAGTAAACCTGCAGGAAGCAGAAAGGGACAGAAACGGAGTGAACATCAGAGAGGATCTGGACCAGCAGGAACGGGAAGAGGCTGGTGCTGCCAAACAGCTGATTGGCACACAGAGCACACAGAAAGACATACATAGGCTCATGTAAGCTCCTGTTAAACCCGATAACCACAATGAGCACAACATTAGAACCAACTATTAAAATATACATACACAAGACAATCAGGAACAATAAGTACTTTAACTGCTTGGTGTCAAAGTAAGCCCCCAGAATCAAATATGGAGCAAGAGTTGAGTTTAACATCGTCTGCATTTGTTGGAGCCGAAAGGAAAAGTCACAGAGCGTTTAGGTGAAACTGAGAAATTCTCATCACAGCCTGCAGTAAATGTACATTAAATCAGACTTCAGCTGGAGAAACGCAACAGGCAGACTGAGGGATGGCAGTTCAGGTGCCTGAGTGGACGACCCAGTCGGTTCCTCTGCTCCTGCTTTTATCCTCTGGTTCCTGCTTCCTCCCCAGGCAGACATGACTGTCGAAGGACAGTTTCTCTGTCCAATTAGGTTTAACATCAAGGCGACTTTCAACTTCAGTTTGCAGACAAAACAAAAGTTGCATCAATCAAACAAGTTTATTTGTATAGAACATTTCAGCAACAAGGCAGTTCAGAGTTTCCATCATAAAGACACAAATACAGTCAGAAAACTCCAAACAGTCGGCTGTCGAGAAACCAGGAGATCAGATTTATTATTATTTCACATCAGTCTTTAATTTAGTATGAAGCATCTCTGAACAGGAGCAGTTTTAGTCTATCGTCCTGGTTCTAGTCAGAACTCCAGCTGCAGCTTCTGGACCAGCAGGGTTCTGGACCAGCAGGGTTCTGGACCAGCAGGGTTCTGGACCAGC